AACTGAATTCAGCTTTCTCAGACGGCAAATCTTCACACATAGAACTACTTTCTATACATACACATTTACTTGGATGGGTAAACACCTTTGAAACCAAATCAACAAAAAGGCCGTCTCCAACTGGGACAAGAAGGCTGTGAAAGCTACACCTCCAGTTATAACTTTCATTAAAGGAGTATCTTAATTGCTGTATTTACTAGAGTTTTCCTTGAGTTGCCCCTAATCAAATGCTGATGTGCCTTCCCTGATTCTCTGCACCAGTTATAATTAACACTGTTCTGCTAACTACTTGCTAAAGGAAGGTCATTAGCATTCTTGCTGTTTAAGTAGCTCATTAGATCTGGTTTATCAACCAACTCACATAAGAAAGTTGGGGAAGGGAGAAAAGTGAAGTGTGACAAGTGATAGGCTGATTTTTAAAATCTTTCCAGGTAATACCAGGAGCAACACAAAATCCCTTCAAACCAGAACAGCTCAGATTTGCCTACAGTTAATTGCAAGGTCACACAGACCTCTTTTTCACAAGGAGACAGAGAAAAGAGAAGATGCCTGTTGGGACACTGCGGCCGGGTGAACCCACACACCTGGGCACCGCAAACCGACACAGCCTTGGGTCACAGGGTCTCTCTCCCAAGAGGAGGTTGTCAGAGACCCAGCAGCTCAGATAACGCTGCTGTCTGTGTAAGTAGGGATGGACAGATGGGGAGAGCTTTTGCATGACCCTCAGCACACAGGCGGGTGACCAGGGTCCCCGCTCTCACCCAGCCTGGTTGCCAGACTGTGGGATCCTGTCCTGACGCTGCCTGGCTGGGGGTTGTGTCCCTTGGGCAAAACTGAAGCCACAGCACAGCCAACAAGGTCAGTGCAGGTGGGAACCACACCAGTGGAGTACAGGGAGTAGTTTTTAGCTCATCAAAAGGTGCTGGTAGAGGAGAGCTCTTCTCTAGCACTTTAAAGCACCATCCTCACATGTTGATGTTGCTGGTGACCACCAGATACAGACAGGTTTCAAACCCTAGACCTGATGGGTGGTTGCACAGGGGAGATGAGAAGGAATTTAATAAAGCAGGAAGCTAACAGGAGAGACAACAGCACAGGAGCAGCAAGAACAATGTGTGTCCATAACAGCAATTTCCTGGCACATGTAGAGAGAGCAAAACCTGCTGTCGGTGCCCATTTCTCATCACAGCCAGGGCTAGAAGCAATGCAGGGATGGAAGAGGGAGCAATGCTGTGCTCGGATAGGAAGCAAACAACAGACTTGGAGGAAGGAAAGAAAAAGTACCAAGGCACAGACTTAAAAGAAACAATAACTACCTGTACTCGGTTTTCCTGAAGCAAAAGAGTACATGAGGGAGTGGAGGGAGACGGCTGTTTGTGTGAAGGATGGATGTAAACTGCGAGCAGGGAAGACAGGTTCATGCATGCGTGTGCACAGATGAAGTGCAGACTCACTGGCACTTCTTGCAATTATTTAATTCTAAAGGGCAAAGATATAACCAGAATTAATAATACAAAGAGCTGGAGCTATGATGCAGCCTGAGAAGGGTTAACTGGATTTCACATTCTGCTGCTAGCTACCTCCACTCAGCTCTTCTGAGTCTGAAAGGCTGTCTAGGCATTAGGGCACAGGAAGAGCAGTTAGAAGACCTTTATCTGATACACAACATGAGTAGTGGGACTTGGGGTATTTCTCTTAACTGTTCTGTGCTTCAGCAACCGTGTCTACATAGTGGGACCTGTCAAAGATGGAAAAGTACTTGAGCTGTTTGGGTGTCTTGCACTGAACTGGTGAAATTTCTTACAGACTACATCAAGAGTGAAGCATGGAGTTATACTCCAAGGTATTAAACAGGAATTATTTAAACTCTGCAGGTTATCACAAAGGTCCTGGAAAAGTTACAGTTATCTAGGAATAAAAACTATCCCATCTAATGAAATACTGCAGCAATGCCTATTCTTATTTGTGAATGAATAGGCAGCACTGTTTAATAGTAATTGATCTCAGTGCTTGGCAGGTAGTAAAACCTCATGCAAATTACAGCTGCCACCCTAAAACTGCATTTGCATAACCTCTTTGTAAGTCAATCTTAAGCCTTTTTACCATAATAAAAGTTATCTATATTTAAAGAGACATGAAAAATAACCATACATACACACTTCCTTCCACTTAGCTTTTAAACACTAACATATATTTGGTGATTTGGGTGATTGCGTTGCAAGATTGGAAACTAGGGGAGTTCAGAGAAAAAAAATATCTGAGTCTGACCTTCAACTCTTAACTGCAAAACACAGAACAAGGGAGCCACTGCACACATGAGGCTGCAGCTGTTAAGTGCCTTCTACGTTCCACATGCGGATTATAAAATCAATACAACATTTATTGGTATCCAGCAGACAGACAACTGCCTGCAACAGTTGAGTCCTACAAGGACACGGGTGTCTGATTCTTTATTAACAGCACTGCTAGAGGGAATCTCACTATGAACTCACCCAAACTATGTAAGCCATATTTGATCAAAACACTACTCATTTAGTGAGGGAGTTTCAGGTGGATTTTGTTAGTAGTCAGAAGAAATGGCAGATCTTCAGGCTCTCAGGTGAACCCTGAGTAATGAGGAGGCTGTGTTTCACTGCTGCTGAGCATGCCTGCCACTGCAGTTCAGTTGATTTATTTTGCCTTCTGCCTCTCTCTTTCAAGATCTACACCCTGCTCTTGGTCTCCTTCTGGAGTAACAGCTGTGTGAATTGATGTCCTCTGGCTGGGGATTTCCAGGACTATGGGAACTGGGTTCCCAAATTTCCCTTAAGGCCAATAGGAATAGGTTGTTTGGCTCCCACAGACTGCCTTGAAAATTCTAGTTCATAATCCAAGCCACTTTTGTAACCTGCCAAGTGAGATTTCAACCCTGCATGAAGGTCTCCAACACCACAGCTGGACAATTCCAACGGAAAACATAAGCAGTTTTTAGCAATCAAGTTGATTGGTTGTCTCAGCTCTGGTAGAGAAGTTGGTGTTTGTCCTTTCACTTTAAATAGTACTTGTTTTTCTGTGTTATGTGAAAGCTGCAGTTGACCTTTCAGTCATTGTGGCACAGGGAGCAATGAGTCAGCCAAGCCAGTCCAGAGGCTACAGAAATGGATGCTGGTGCCTTCCATGACATGAGAGCTTCCCTCCTGCCACAGAGCCTTGCACTTGAGCAGCCTCCTCCCAAATGAGCACTGCCCAACAGGTACACCATTAGAAAAGAGTAATTCAAAATTATAATTAATACTTTCCCAGTCTAAAGAAAGCCTAAGGCAGCTATTAAATTGGGATTAAGCATATTTCAAGCAGGCATCCTTAAGTAACACACAACTTGCTTGATCTCTGAATACCAGAAGGGCAAGGCACGTTATTTTCTACAACCAAAGTCCTTTTTTTTTAATCTGTGACACTAAAAAGCCCTAGGCAACTTTCAGGATTAATTGCAATCGTTCAGGGTCCTCGCCATTCCTCCTGGATATCCCTCTTATGTAAGAAAAAGAATGAACGTGCAGCAGAGTCGCTGGAGATGCCTCGCCTGCATCTCACACCCTGCCTCTCATTGCTGGCACCTGCCTTCAAAGCATGCTGGCCTGCTTATTTCATTCTCCTACTTGACATTCCCCATGTTGACTGCCTTGCACAAAGCAGTCTCTTCCAATGATTCCTTTGTTTTTGTCACTTTCAAGTAATTTCTAAAATAAGATCATTTCTCCCTGGGTGCCCAGAACATTGAAGTAAATAAAGAGTTGTACATATTTATTCTCTTGAGACATTTCTCATTCCTTTGGTCCATTCAGCATTATCTTTATCTGTCTCTTCATGTATGCTTCAGAGGGCTACAGAGAAACAATACCATTTTTGGGAGCTGCATTCAAGAGGAAATATATATAGATATACAAAATTAAATATATAAAAATAAATGTGTATAAATACACACACCAGTGTCTATGCAATGAATAGATGAGAAATGACAGTTTAAAAAAAAAAAGTCCCTAGCACCCATCAGCTGTGTCACACAACAGTACTGAGCTGGAGGAGCACATCAAAGTTCTTTCTATCTGTCAGTTGGTGGGACTAGTGAAGATATCAGTTACATCACTAGAAATCTGTAGCAACTTCAACACAACGTGGGCTTTACGTGGAAGCTACTATATTTTATAAATGATGGTTTGTGTTCTCTGAAACTCAATGCATCAAACTCCACAGAAAGGTGCAAAGGAAAGAAATTATCCCAGTATATCTAGACTTGTTTTCCTCATTACATTTCCTAGGCCTTATCTTTTCAACTGTGAATGTTCTCTGACTGCCAGTTTTTGGAGCAGGGTCTTTTGTTTTGCTCTGCACTAGGATAATAGTGGCATAATAAAGGAGATCCCCAGTCAGACCAAGGCCAACAACTGCAGCAGTAATAGAAAAGAATACTACTAATGAAAAACCAAATCATGCACACCATAAAGGAATACTAATAAAGCCGCCACACCATACACACCCATCCTGCCGTGGATTTTACACGATTATTTATCATCATACAAACCAGGTTCAAAATATCAGCAGGTCAGAAAAGCTGCATGTTGCCACCCATAAATAGGTATTTGGTTTATGAGACCAGATTAATAGATAAACACGCACACATGAGCCTATTCCATTCTCATTTCTAATGGACCTATGTCCACACCACAGAAGCAACTGCTTTCCATTTACAGAGCTGTCTGTAAGTTTTACAAAAGCCCTAGGCTAAAAAAATTTAGAAGCTCAATTCTCTTGACCTAGTGGTCCTTCCAGGTTTGATTTGTAGGCCACTGATAACATAAGCATGTAAAAAAGTTGCATTGCACGGCACCACTTCCCGTTCTGCTGATAAATACAGGCTTTCCTTCCCTAGCATGGTTTAACTTGGCGTTTTAGATAAGCAGTTAGTAAACAAAAACAAACATGGGCACGCAACCCTGCCAAAACCTGCTGTGAGCACTTACAAATCCAATCAGATACGGACTGCCAGCATCTCCCAGGAGGTGTGAAGTGAAACTCTGCAAGGCTACTGCGGTTGCACGGCGTGTTGGAATGACCACATACTGCAAAGAAGAAGGGGAAAGAAAAAAAAAAAAAACATAAGGAAACTTAAGTAAGAACCTGTCCAGCTGTCTTGTATTTCTCAGTTTATATCCAGATCAGAACAAAGTAAACAAGCTCCCCCAGATGTCGGTGGCAGACACAGCCACTGTCCAGTCCACGGGCTCAAGGGACCACAGAGCTCAGCCACCCTCCCTGGCTTCCTGGTACTTCTGACGGCAGGTGTTGAGGGAAGGAGGCTCTGCCGGGGCTGCACTCCACGCAGCAGCATGGAATGCCTGGGTTTGACCAACAACTTCGAGACATTTCACTATTGCAAATCCTCAGCCTGTATTTTGCTTGGCTGATGGGGAGGGTGAAGTTCGAGGCTGCCTGCAGCACGTAACTTGCTCAGCACCTCCAGCCTTCCAAGTGAAGGACTTTGCAGTGACCTGGGATATTGTGCTTTTTCCACAATAAAGATATAATTTTGTTTCCTAAACCATAAGCAATTCATATCAGTATGAAAGGTCACACATTCTCCCCTTCCACTCTATCTCTAGCCACTTTACATTTTTCTCAAAAATTTGCAATTCCACTTGTGAAAAGTGACCAAGACACATTAGGAAAATTTTCCATAGACAAGATATTGTTGTTTGGTCTCCACTCCTCTAACAGGGCATGACACCCTCAGCCAGGTCATGCAGAATCAGTTTGACTACACAGGATCAGTGGAAAACACAAATTACTTCCCCATTAAGGGACCAGATCTTACAGAAAACAGAGCCCTAACCATGAAAAGGGATAAAATATTAAGAAAGGAAAAAAACCAAACAAACCCTTGTCCTGCAGAATGACCTTAACTTTATAACATGCATTTAGGAGCAGAAAAAAGTAATTGTCTCCTGCACAGAACTTGTGAAAGAAGCTGGCTAAGAACATCTGCATCAAGTCCACATATCCTGGTTTATAAATTGATTGTGTCTTGATTTAAAGGCTGTAATTAATAAAGAATTCAATAGGTCTCTAAATCCAAGTGAGCTTTGTTTCCACTTCTAAGCACTGAATCTTGTTCTGCTTTTTCTGTTGCTCTGAACAGTCCCCTACTCTGCCACAAATAACTCTTCTTTAGCTGCTTGTAGACCATGATCCCTTTTACTTGTCCACTTTCTCTCTGATGGGCTGCCTTTGGTCTTTCTTTAGAAGGCATCCCTTCCCAGACTTCCACTCGTTCCTGTGATCCTTTCCTGAAGTCATTTATTCATTAAATGCAACATTTCAGGACTGGCATATCCCCAGCTACAGATACCCAGAGATGAGGCTACCTTATCTGAGGTAGGGAGAACTCACTGCTCAACACTGACATATCTCAGGGCACAGGATCCCAAGCACTGTTTCAGTGCTTTACCACTTCCTCTTAGGGAAGGGGAGTTGCCTTGTCTGCAGTGGAAAGAGCCACAAAAAATGGAAAGAAAAGAAACAGGATTGAGAAAATCCACACTAGAAGAGAACTGATGCCTATTGAGAATGGTTATCTCATTCCAAGCAGAGACAATTAGGAACGATGGGTAAAATTAGATTAAATGCTTTCCCCTAGGGTTTTACCACGTCCTTTCAGAATGACCTGCCAATTCTTTCATTGCTGGTTTGACAAAGGTGCAAGTGCACACTGCTAATGCACTCTGATTCCACATATTAAATGGGCACCCTGTTAAACTCCTGTTGTGCAACAGAAGAGCAAAGATGATCAGATCCACAGCAACCACCTGGCTACAGGTGTTATACACTGTGCTCCTTTTGCATCCAGGGGCTCACAATAGACGTCAAGGCTCACAGAAATCCCAAGAGGAAAATAAGGTCTGGACTTTATTAGAGACACAGAAATGTACTGAAGGTTAAACTGTGACACAAGAGGAGAGCCACACAATTAATTACCATTCCCCAAAGATGCAGGGTAATGGGCGCAACCTGGAGAGATTAGATAGAAAAAAGAAAAAAAAAAAAAGTGAGTTATTGTTCTTCCCACCTGGTCCCACTTCAAACAGGTGCAATGGAGAAGCATTCTGCAAGAGCTGTTTGAGAAAGGGCATGTGAGAAGAGAAAGTGAAATTCTACCAATTCAAGAATCCAGAGCTGTGTATATCTGTGAAACAGGAAATTTTAAACTTACATTAAAATAGTTTTGTTTCTATAAAGTTCATGTTAACAAATCTGGAGAAGGAAGCCTGCCTGGCTTTACATTCCATCAATTTTCTTAGAAAAATGACAAAGAAAATGGCAAACTTCTTAAAATCTTACTGTTTTCAAGGAGTGGTAGTGAATTGGTGTAAAGTGGAGAAAGAAAATGGACTAATACCTGCATCATATCTCTGTGTGCATATATATATTTATACACATGAACACACAGACATATATTGGGCATAATTTTGCATTATCTGTATTATGTGTACATATAGTTTTGCAAGTAGCAATACAATTTCCAGCAAGTTTTCAGTTTGCCTAACTAAAGAAGTTATTGATGGTTGAAACCATTTCAATTAATTAAAAGTAAGTTTAGTTTAGAATTCAAGTGAAAAATACTCCTCCCCTACCCTCAGTATGTGGCAAGCAAATGAACTAAGATTTTTCCTCCTCTTCTGAAAGACACTGGAAAGGAAAAAAGGCTTAAACCAGCATGTCCAAAGCAGCAAAAAATAATCCACCGTATCCCTACTTAAAAAGCATTTCATTCTGATGGAGAAGAAGTAGTTGGTAGCAAACATTGTCTACTGTTCTAGGAAGACAGCAGTAAATTACAGTCCTAAATGGGCATTTTGATACTAAAATAGAGCTAAATTCAAACCATACATGGCCTGGTTTGAATATCCCACAGAAACTGGAGGTGGGAGAGCCGCCGCAGCCAAGGCGGAACTCCGTGGGATGGTCCTGGCTCCTCTCTGCCTCCAGGTTCAGAGGCAGGCAGCACAGAGGATGGGCAGGGAGGCTGACCAAGCAGCTTTGGCAAACCTCTGCTCTTTAAACAGAGGTTCAGAAAGGCCATGGTTTACTGCTGACATCCCCTTCCTGTCGTGAAACCAGCAGAATGAGTTGGTCTGAAAGAAGTTAACCAGAGAATCCAAGGGGAGATCACCCTTCTCCCAGTAAAAGGCCACATGCCAAAGAAGTAAGTTCTGATGTTTATGTCTACTCTTTGAAAGAAAACTCTACTTTCTAAAATGCTTTGCTGCCCTTCCTGGGTCAGACAGTATTCTTCAGGACAATACATTTTGGCCTCTTTCAGCAAAGAAAAGTCAAAGTCAAAGAAAACACACGCTAACCCAGTTCTAGCCACTGACGGCCTGGAAGCAGTCCCAGTGTCCCTGCTGTAACTGCTGCTCAGAAAAGGCAAAGGCTGCGATCCAGAGAATCGAGCCTAAGAGAAACCCTTCACTCAAGCTAGGCAGGCATTGACTAACACAGTACTTTTAAAAGAAGTCAAAGGAGGCTGATTTGGTCTCCAAATCACAGCACAACATGGAGCAGCGCACATCCATCTGCAACCCTTGGCCCACAGCAGAACTGCAGAGACACCCCTTGGCACATCCTTCCCTGGGGGAGCTGTGCTCAGGTGTTTGAAGTGGGCTGTGCACCTTCAGCCAAAGGCACTCCTCACCCTGCTGTAAAACCTAAACCACAGCACTCGCATTACTGATGTGTGGAGGCACACTGAGAGAAGCAACAATGAGAGCTTCTGGAAATGCTATTTATCTTCAGCTGTAAAAGTAGGGCAGTATTTCATACTACGTAAATAATTGGTTTTTATTTATAGGGGAGGTAACCAGAACAAAAGCAACATTCCTCGGTGCCTATAGCACAGCTGAGCACCAGTCTATACCTGGTTCAAGCCTAAAGGAAGAGTGTGACTCTACAGCAAAATGTTAAAGCAGCTCCTCCATGGCAGCTCATGACCATTTAAGAAGAACTAATTTTAAAAGAAAAAAGAAATATGCAGAGCATTTTTTTTTTTTTTTTCATGACTGTCAGGACTTTGCATAAACTGGAGGGTGGCTTTTCTCAGCAAAGACCTAAAGAGATTGTGTGTTTGCAATAGCTGAGGCCCTTTAAATTGCCTACTGGCTCTTACACAGAAAAGCCACCAAAGCCTCTGTCCATCACCTTTATTTTTGAGATGTGCTATGGAGGAAAATCCCCACTATTTGAGCTGGATTCCACAAAGCCCCAAGCACTCAGCATGTCTCAGAATGTTACACACTTGCCCGCTGCACTGACGCTCATTCATTATCGCTGTTACAAGGCAGTTTTAATGCTTTTTTGGGGTTCTGGTAGTTTTGAGGCCAATTTGCAAAGATGGCTGATAAAATCTGTTTCATAATTAGCATGCTCCATAAGAAACATCCCCCCCTTCCCTAAGCACCATCTGAGCACGTGCCTGGGAAGAGATCTGGAGAGTTGTGCTCGGGAGAATAAGGCCTGTTTTGTACAAATTTGCATTTGGAACAAATATCAGCCTTTTAAAATCTCAGGCAGCGCGGTACATTCTGCAGTGCTGACAGTTTATCAAACCTAGCACTCAGCACCTTTTACTGCAGACAATTTGAGGAGCTGCACACCGACCGTTACACTGGCAAGAACAGTAGATGCAATGGAAGCACAAAGTTATGAAGAGCTAACAATTACATTTGAAGATAATAAGCAAACATCCTTGCTTTGCTGAGGAAATTAAACTTGCAAAATCTCTGAAGATGCTTACCAACTTGCCTGATAGGATTATTAAGCAATCACCAGATCTGTAAATCTTGGGAGAGCTATGGTAAATCATTTGGGATGCAGTTTGCAAAAAGCCTCACTTCTGGCATAATGAAATCAGTGGGAACAGTGTTCAGCCAGTATTGACAGCTTTTTACCCAGGAAAACAGGATAATATTTATGTATATGATGAAAGTGGTGTTAAGCTTACGCTAATAATGCTTTTAAACTCCTTACCAGCCTCAGGCAAGAACAGACACACTTCTGATTACCCCAAATAAATAGTAATCAGTAGAAATTAATTTGCCAAACATTTGAAGAGCATCTTGCTAAAGCATATCCACACCTTTCTCTGGCTAGGACTTCTTATAAAGCTGTCTGTCAAACATGGTTATAGCCCTGGCTCTCACCTGTCGTCTGACTAAACATCCTCTCAAACCCCCTGTGTAATACGGGTGCACTTCAGACCATCTGTTTACAGGCTTGCATTGATCTAAGGGGATGTTTACTTTTATTTGTATAGCACTTTACAGGTCTACTCATGCTGATAATGCATTAAGCTGGGCATTATATATGACAGTTCATTTTTCTAAACAGACAAGAGAACAGCTAGCTTAAGAGTTGGCATCAATTACCAAAATTCAATTTTTAATATGCTTTTAGTTCCTTTTCCATGTTTCGGAAATTTGAACTAAGAAATTATTTGCAATTATTTCCAATCACTTCTTACTGAGTTCTTTTGCACTAAAGCAACATAAGTAACTGCAAATGCATCCCTCCAAAATGCAACTCACTATAGGATGCTGGTAAAACAGATGGCAAACCCTATAACAGCCATTAAAAAACTACAGGATACTGAAGTCACATTGAAATCAACACAGAAAATCTCAGTAATTAAAATGGGACAATGATAGCATCCTTAGTACGCTCAATATAACATAGTAGTTGGTTGAAAAATGCATTTTGGGGTTAGCTTGAGACAAGGTAGGTCAAGTTTCAGCTCTCTCTGGCACAGATTTTCTGGAGGACCTTGAGCATGTCCGATGTGTGCCCTCCGTCCAGCTGTGCTGTGTTGGCAGCAGAGATGACCACCTCAGCTGCAATCTCACTGCTGGAGGACTGCAGATGTGCTCCACGGCCAAGCCTTAACCTGTTTCAGCCAACGCTAGTGAGGATATAAAAGATGCGCTATTTAAGCCAGTCAGCTAATTCTAACCCGGGTTGGGAGCGCTCCTGGGAACCCCACAGCCAAAGGCAGGATGCAACAGGAAGCTCTGGCAGGAGGCAGCAATGACAATTACAAGTATTGTATTATAATGTATTCCTCAACACAGCTGTCTGTAGACTGCACATCTAAGTGTTGAGATACCACTCAATGAATGGCCACGGCAGCCTTGAAATCACCACAAGCTGCAAGACTCACGTAAGTATGGAGTAACCACACGTTCAGGCCATGCAGGGCTCTGTCACACTAAAGCTAAACTGGTGGGAGGAACAAACCTCGGTAATTAGAAGCTATGTAATGCTGCTGAAGTACACTGATAACACCTTTGTTTCTCTGTGCTTTATTCACATCTGAGAGAAGCGGAATTAACCGCCCCACCTCCCAAAACATTCTCTCCACAAATGAGTTAAAGATTGAAAGTTCATCAGGCAACACAGTTATGGCAACTCCAGAGCCACCTTAAAATATGAACACAACCTTGAACTCAAATCATAAACAGAACTTAAGCAGAAGCTTGAAGTTCTTTGCTGAATCAATATATCAACACCATTATCTTTACATCTAGGAATACTGAGCCAGACTGTTTTCTTATTGATGTTTGCATAAGCAACAAATACAAGTCAAGGGAGTTTTCTATTGATGCCAGACTGATTATATTTTTAGTTCTGTCAGCAAGCTGCCAAAAGACCTCAGGCAAGTCCTCTAATGGTTCTGTGCTTTAGTTTCTTTCTTTTCCATACAATAAGCAACAAGTAACCTTCCTGACACTGGGATTTCAACGTACAGTATGTTTGATAGGCTCTGTAAGTCTCTGATGGAAGCATCTACAAAACATGCAGGGCTCTCTAACAGAGATTCAGACTATTTCATATGAAAATCTATCTGCTGAGGTCAGCTTGCTGATTTTAAAGACTTAAAAAGCTCTACAGTGGAGAAAGAATGGAAAATTAAGGACAGGAGGTGAAAAGTCCCTGACAGTTTCCTCTTGGACAAGATGGACACAGTCCAAAATTTCTTTATACTTTCTTTTCCTCTCTCCTCTCCCAGAGGTGGTTTTCTATTGTGTATGTGTTGAATGGTAGGTTTGCTGGAGTTAAGCCAAAGAGAGAGGTAGATGGCTACCTTTGTGGTCAGAGGAGGGAGGGAAGGATTTCCTATTGCAGAACAAAGCTGAGTTATTGATAAAATCCACTAATATGCTGAGTATTAGGAAATGCTGGCTGATTTCTTTGCATGTGGGGTTTTGTGCAAATACTTAAAATTTGGGGAAACTATCTGAATTCAGTAATGGTGTCATTTCTGGACATCTCCTCTCCCTTATGCTCAGAACAAAGAATGAGAAGAATCTTTCTTCCCTTCTCTCTTTCTACCTCGCTTCCCTATTCAGAAAGTTTAAAAAAAAAAAAAGAAAAAAGAAAGAAAGAAAAAAAGAAAAAAAAAAAAAAGGCTGAAGTAGGGGCTAGGCATTTGGGAGAAATTGAACTTCAGGTTGTTCTTGCAAGCTGACAAACTGCTCTGGCCACCAGAAGAGAAAGATGCTGTTCCAAAGTACACTCACCATTAGTATGTCTGCTGTGATAGCCCAGTTTGAAAACAGAAGAGTTTCTCCGATAAAAATGCAAATCTGTTGTAACAAAACACACAAAAAGGAGAAGATTTATTCACTTGACATTCAAAGGAAAAATAACCTATCACAAACTTTCCTTTGCTGCTTATTTGTCTCAGACCTACAGAAAACACTCCTTGTTACTCTTCTTATCCCGAATATTAGCAAACTATAGACTTTTATCTGAGCTCTAGGGGGTTGGCCTGCAACTTTGTTAGTGTAAACTGTTTATGATCTACAGAGCAGCCAAACAGAGGGCTGACACATTCAGTTACAGAAGAACATGAGAAGCCAGCAAGAAGAAGACAGCCCTGGTCTTCCATACTTGCATCATTCTGTTCCAAAAGCCAGTTAAAAAAGGCAAGAAGGCTACAACTCCCCAAAACACAGTCATTTTCACACTAGGAATTAAGTTATGAGTTAAGTTTTGCAGCAAACCAAATGAGGTTCTCTGCCCGCTATATGGAAGATCCCTCCCCTGATAGCGTATTTCTGTCCTTTTTGAGGGGGACATAGTTCTAGGCACTACAACATCTCAAGCATTACACCGGTAATATCTATGTACAGTCAGAACAGGACTTAAGTATGGCTTTTGCAACATCAGTGTCTTACAGTGAAATGTAACTCTTGACTCTGTGGAGGAGGTCAACAAGCCACATTGAAAGCCCTGTGTATGTTGTTGGATGAGAGCTTTTTATGGTGGTGTGAACAGCCACCACATATGCTTGGTGGCTGGCACTCCCAGTTGTACTGGTACAACAGGGCCAAGCAGGGATTCAGAGCAGGAAACTGAGGTGGAGCAAAGAATCTTTTGTTGGGGGGAAATAGGGGAAGAGGGGCTGCTTTTGCTTATCTTTAACCCAAATCAGTTGTCTGATGCAGCTCACTGAACGGTTCTACTAGCAGTTGAAGAACTGGAAATGATCAAGAGGAGAAACCAATTTAACCTGGCCTCATCATTAAACTGAGTCCAATGGGGCAAGGGTGACATGGCTTCAGGAGAAACACTGCCTCCATCAAGAAGCTTTTTATTCATATTTCAATTACAAATCTTTTGCTTTTATACTGTATGTTAACAATTTATCAAAGAAATGTTGGTTCAAGAGGATGAATAAACAAGGATAGAAAATCTTCCACACACATGTTTCCCTCTTCTTTTGTGTCTTACGAAGAACAGAACACACGGACAAAATGCTCCATAAATAACCAGACTTCATAAATCAGCTCCCTCATTCTCCACCAGTAAGAAGGCAAACAAAAATCCTTCAATCTCCCTCCAGAAAGTTGCTTTTTGCCCAGCTCACCCATTTCTTTTTGTGGCACCTAGAGAGAAAACATTACTCCTGGAATGCTTTAGGTAGCTGGGGATACTAGCTATGGAGATCTAGATTCTGGCAGTTGAGGATTCACCATTTTAATTACCGTACCTTCACTTTTTGTTATGTTGCATAGGCTACAATTCATTAATGAAACAAAGCCAGCAAGAAATACAAGACACACCTTGTTCTGAAGCACCGCTGAGATGGGTGTTGTTCTGCGGCGTTGCTGTGAGCTCTGAGGGGCTGGCGGGCACAGCCACTGCCCCGGTCCCTGCTGCCTGCACAGGCACGGGTTGGGGCAGGAGGAGGAACTGCAAGACTGGCAGCTATGGTGTGATGTGACCATCGCAATTCTCTTTCCCACACACCGGTTGAGATTGCCTAAACCCCTCAGAGCATCATGTCACTGCCAGAAATAGTTTGCTTTATTTAGTGAGTCTTACGCATTGACCTACAGAAAGCTTCCTCTATTTGTTTCTAAAATTGTCTTTGTTTCCCACACATTCTCCCTCTCTATTCCCCCTTTCTGTGACTGGATCTGCTTCCTCTATGAAGGTGTCGGAGCCAGTCATTATGGCCCAGCTGGTCAGCTAGGAAATCTCCTCTTCCCATTTTCCCACTGTCCACTGGTCTGCCTTGAACTTGTCTCTCACTGAAAATCACAACTGCCAAGCTAAGAAACACAGATCCAATGAATCAGGGTGCTGACAGGAGTCGAAGTCATGTGTCATGCAGCAAGGGCATACCAGAGCCCCAGGTGGGTTCTCAGGACCTGCTCTGAAATCTGTCCTACCGCAGCTCTGCGGCTGCTGTTGCTGTGGTTCTGTGGCTGGATAGATTAAATTGAGCTTGGGAAAGATGTAATCACACTTCTGATTATGGCATTGCCATGCCCTGCCTGTTCATACAGTACTGCAGACAGGCAACTGCTTGCCTTAAGGTTGTATGAATTACAGACACATAACACATAGGAATTGCTACACACAGCAAGGAAAACTTGCCCCCTTCTGCAGGCATTCAGCACAAGTCCTATAAATAAATAGCTGAAATCCTACAGATTTCAGAGCACACCAGTTCTGAATTGCTGAATGTGTGGTTTCACCCACCACGTTTCCACAAAACACATGCTTAATATGTGGATACTGGTAAAAGGAAAAGCGGAACAAGAGGAAGATCAAAAAGTAGGACAAAAGATACTGACATTTAAAAAAGAGTCTGTCCTTCAGCTGCTAATGGGGATTTATAAAAATGAGTTCTTCCCCTGCAAAGGGCATATGAGGATATGTGGCATTTCTGCTGGAGAGAGACTCTAGGGATGCTTACTGCAAATAGGGCAGCCTCCAGAATAGATCAATACCTCCTGAAATGCTCACGGTTTTGACTCCTCACACACTTTTCAAAGCCTCATTTTACACTGAGATTTCAGCTCTACAGATAAATCCTCTTCCGAATCCAGCTGTGTTGTAAAATATCTCACCATCTCCATGTGGTGTCCAGTTGTGACGAGCTGACAGAAGTTATATCCCCCTCAAGTCTTTCTGGTTTTGTGATCAGTAGCAAATTCTGATGAGCAGGTTTCAGTGTGGCCACACCAGCAGCTCTCACAGCAAGTTCTAAGCAGGTTATAAACTCCTTCCACGGCTATTTGCAAAGTGCCTATCTGTCTACATCTTCATTACTTGTATTTCTCTGAAATCATGGGTAAGACTCCCATATGTACTCTTGAATTTGAAGCAAGTATAACTCCATCTCAGTGTTGGGCAATACTGATGCCTCAGAAGTAGGTATGTTACCAACACCATGTCAACAGAAAGTCCCTGGCGTTAAGACTTAGATGCTGTAAAAGCTTTATGGCAAGGATTTACCCTGGGATTTGCTGTTTCTGCAGATCATAAAATGTCTTTGGGGAATTTAAATAGATGTTGAAATTGAGGTACAACAGGAACTTGGAGCAGTGTGAAAAGGAAGGCAAAGCAAAGCACTTTGCTCCAGTCATTTGGAGATTTAAACTAGTGTAAAATCTGCTGTTGAAATGTCTGAGTAGTGTGATACAATGATGCCATACAGCTAATGGGTTTCAAGAGAGAGGTTTGAAAACCAACATTTCAAAGAGTACATATTTCAGAAAGAGTGGGCCTTAAAGATATGCGAATCTCTGTTTTAAGGAGCTGGACTACAACACACAAATCCACAGGCTTCAAGGAAAACAGGGTGAGAATTGATCGGACTATACAGCCAAGCAAGATACTAAAAGATAGAAATACAAGTGTCTGGGCAGCTAAATTATATAGAATGCTCTTTTATTCCAAGATTGCAATAGCATTGAATGGCATGGAAAAACAAGGGCTCGTGTTTGAAAGTTGCCTGAAAAAATCAATTCAACTGATATAATATATAGCACCACCATGGTAATACCCTGTGTCATGAGACATGGGTAGCTCCAACATAGACTGTTCTCCCAGTTGGGTTTAGCACCAGTAACACTAAACAGCAACAGGTGGTGTGTCATTGTTTTCTGTTTATATTAATTTATAGTGGATGCCTTGTCCACAGATCTTCTAACTCTAGGTTATTTACAAATATTAATGATCTAAGCTACCCTGACCCCTTGTAAGTTAAGGATTTTCATTTTTGCTGAGGCAAAACAAAGTTAAATAACTAGACCACTGTCACATGTAGAATCTATAAAGACAGTTCAAATCTCTGAATCTCAGATTCCCCAATCGACTCATTAGCTAGACTCAGGATCTGCTTTCTATGCATCAGGTTTCCAGCAGCAGAAAGAGCATATTTGGGGCTACAGAGAGGCAGTGCTACCCACAACAAATGTACGCTTCAGCCTAAAAGCATCAGCAAATATGCTTATATTTCTCAGACCCCCTCCATATGCAGATATCATTTCCTTTGCAAATCATTGGCTCTTTATTAGATTTACTGCTCATGCATAATAAAACAAATTGCTTCTAAGGTTCGTTAAATAATACCATCTATATATATTTACACAATGCAAAATCATCACATGGCTAATAAAAAAAATAAGAAAAAAAGATGAAAATGAGACCAATAACCACCTCCTGTTGCAAAATTTTTGAAAACGGTATTTCAGGTTTAGAAAGGGAGGACTTTCTCCATAAAGAGACTAAACACCACAAATGAACATGTCTGTCATCAGGCCTGAGAAAGGAGAAAATCACAGGTCTGGCTGCACAAAGAGGTGGAGGGGAGGGGCAGGTGGAGGGATATGACAGATCACTCAGAGGAGGGTTAATGCTTCATCAACCAGTGACACCCTCTTACAGGTTGTCCGAGGTGATCGTTTTTCTGCTGAATCAAAGTTTGATTCCAGATCGTGCCACAAACCAGAGGACTGAATCTCTTCTCACACTTTCTAAAGAGCCAGAGTAGGCATTCTTGGTTCTGTCTTAATGTTTTCAAACTTGCATTATTTTTTTTTTCTGTGTTTAATGATGAAAATACCCACGGCTAGGCTACTGCTAGAAATACAGAGAAGCAAGGAACCACAGTAGATTGGTTGGTTGGTAAATTGTAAATGGATTCTCCTTGCTGGGTAGTGTGCACTGCTCTGTGGAAGCCAAGGGTTGGCTTTCAGAAATTATCCCACTACTCCAACTATCTCCTGCTTTCCCTTCAAAAACTTCTCCCAGGTCCCAGGCTTCTCTCTATCACATTGAAAGTGAACCTGGGACCTGGATTTCTACTCTCTATTGAAAGCAAGATTCTAGCCTGAAGCTGGATTATTATACTTGTGTTTTTCCTTTTTCCTTCGGTCTATTTGTCTGGATCTATCTTTTTATATACTTTGATTATAAGCACTCAGGGAGGGGGCATATTTTAATCTGCAGTTCTGCAGCATCAAGTACTGTGGGTTCCTGGGCTCGGACTTTCAGATGCTATAGTAATAGATACCAACAAATTGAAATTACATGGTAGTTAATATTGGTCTGCAGCAAGCTACCTAGTTATGGAAATTAATGGTACTTATAGATAGCCAAAAGCATGCCCACAGACAAATTATACTGTAATTCTAATTTGGTCCCACTGCAGCTACAATACCCTTACCGCAAGGGAAGTGGTCAGTTTTCCTGTACCAAAACATTAGGCAAGAGCAATAGAGGTAGGGATAGAGGTATAGATAGAACAACCCAGAGACAGGGAACTGTGGGTTTCCATGCATGTGCTAAATCACCAGCTCTGAATTCTGGTAACAGTTAGTGGGGATAAGCAGCTGAGATGTCATTTTCCCTCCAGGCCCATCCACACAGTGCCAAAATGCCAAGGGGCAAAGTAAAGGACATTCAGAGGGGGAAAAGCAAGACCAACATCTCAGGCTTCCTGCAGGGGACAATGCACGGACCCTTCTAAGGAGTTTGGAAGAGAAAGTAGAGTGAGACTGGCATATGCAAAGGATTATACTTACATAGGCTCCCACAATGCTGCTCTTGGCAGCAACGAAGATGAGACAGATGAAGATGGCTGATCCTAGCATGCCAACAGCACAGACAAGAGGATCAGCTCGCTGGGTTTTTAACCGGCACCATTTGGTTGCCCCTGCCCCTGTGATTACACCCAGGAAACCAGTGAAGCATGTGATTGCTCCGAAGATCAAGCTATTAAAAAAAAAAAAGAAAAAGGAAAAATGGGCATGGTCTTTCAACAAATTATTAGGGTAAACTGACTAATGGAAATCTGCCCCTTGGCTTTCCAAATTTAAAATAAAACAAATGCGCTCCCCTGCTAAGTGCTTGTGATTTTTGCACTCTTGCCCTGCAGTTAAGAAGAACACAGCATATGAAATTCAGCCTTGTACACAGGCATCGATCAACATGCAAAGAGGTACAAAGGGCCCACAGACTGCTTCTCAGTGTGGAATTCAGCTTCCTGTAAAGTGCATTGTGCAGCTAATTCTGTATGCACGAAACTAAGAAATAACCTGCACATTGATCATGTAAGGTGAAATCATGGATAGCACAGGCACCAGGAAGCCTAACAAGATGGTAAAGAGCAGTGACTTTCAACATACTTTGACTTTCTAACTCCTTTCAGACCACTTCAAAGAAGCCTTCTTCTGCTGTTAGGGTACACATTTGAAATGTGTTAATTTAAATTGAAAGAGCCAGGAGCTGTCAAGGATTCTCCGTATTGTATGTGCAGGACTTGGATTACAGAGTCTTTGGCAACTACATTACAGTAGCTCCAGGGCAGCTCAAAACATACATGTCATCAAGGAGTGGAAAACTTCTCTTTGTAAACAGCAGATGGGCAGTCAGACTGGGGCTGTATTTTCTACGCACTGCATTTGCGCAGAATAGACTGGGACTGCCCGCTGGGCACTCTGGTTGATGGTACTCCAAACCACTAAGTTGTTTACTTCAGATGGGATTGTGTCAGCTAGAGCAAGAAAGTTTTCCTAATGTTATTTTTCCCTCACAAGCTAAAAAGCAAACGAGCTGACAAAAGGCATTTTTTCATATCTTTTACTCACCTGGAGAAATGCTTTTTTAACGTTTTGTTTTGTGCCATCATGGTAAAGCACAAACCGATGAATTACTTTTCATCATTTATGTGCTGTAAGTTACATAACCAGGACCGAAAAAACCAAACCACTGTATAACATGAAGCACCCCAGACCAAAGTGTCCCAGATCTCTGCACCATTCTACAGCAAAACTCAGCAAACACAGTAGTATACAGAGCGATGAAAGACATAAAACCAAAAGTATTCAGGGTTAGTCCCCGCAGCCTTTAGGGGAAAACAGTCCAACCTCTGAATTACAACCACCACTGTGGCTACCCAACCTGCCACCTTACTCTGCTGCTATCACAGATAAGTATGGGTCTTAAGAAACCAAATTCTCAGCTCTTCAAACATCCTCTCAGTCAAAGACAAAAGTCTCTTTCCTACTTCTGCACCATAGCCTGGGAACTAAGACAAAGCTGAGGTAACTGCTTCTCCCTTGGTTTGACTTCATGCAATGAAGAAGAGAAATAAAACCTAGTTTACAATCCCAGCACTTCCTACCATTGTTGCAAAGACCTAGAGGAAATTACAGACATTCTAGAAACGACTTCATGGGATTTGCCTGTTTCCTCTGGCAAATAAGCCCCCACCCCCTTTTCCCCCTCTTTAAAGCAGAGGACTATGAATCTCACCTATCTTTGGTGCTGCAGGGCTGTGAGCTGCAGGTCTCTGCTGTCTTCTGCACAACCTGTGCTCTGTGAAGGTAGAGAGGGATCCACATGCCAAGTGCCCCTGTGGCAAAGGAGACAGCTGAAGTGGCCAACGATGAGAACACGTAGCTGCGGCTGTGGTGGTGCAAGAGGCAAAAAACAAGAGAAGGTTTAGTGGGAAAAGCAAAAAAGCAGGAGCCCCAGGACAGAAGCCAGTGCTTCAGTGACAAAACACAAGTGTTCCCCCGTACTAGCCACCTCCGTTGGCCAAGGGGCAGAGACAGTACAAGGTACAGAGCAATGGAGAATAAGAGAGATGGAATATTTCTTCCTATCTGATGCTCTATTGATAATAATGTACTTAACTCTTCAGAGGTGCGTCACAGGGACCATTTTTCATGGGACTGTTTCAGGAGACAATCAGTACTTAGTCACTAAGACATCATGTGTGTATTACAGGGCTTTCACTGTAATATCACCTGTTTACCTGGATGAGCAGTTTCACTTCTCCCTCACCATCCATGCCACCATATGATTACTACTTGAATAAAGTACCAAAATAAGTAATAGTGATAAATTAACCATCATCACTTTTCATAATCCTTTGATACTGGATGACAATACCAGCAAGGCATTCTAGCCAGCGGTGCTAAGAATGATGGACACAAGTTTCTCATCAGAATTCTGATTCAACGCTGAATTCACAAGTGCAAGACTTACACATTCATAGGCAAGATTTCTGAAAGCAAGTACAGCTGCTTAAACACTCATGAGCATGTGATCTTTTATGCAAATATACAAGGACCCAAGCACATTCAGTGCTCATGCATTCAGTCATATGTCGTTGTATAATCATATATATATTTAAATTTGCCATGTAGTGCAAGCTTTTGTGTATTTTTTTTCCTCTTAAATTGCTCTGGCATTTAACTCTCTTATTCCCCTCAGCAGGTTAGCTCTTTCAAGGAAGAAAAAGGATCTAAGCATCTGAACAACAGTGGCACAACAATTAATACAGGAACACAGCAACTTCTACACTTCAAAAGCCTTGATATGTCTGAAGTGTAAGCCAAACAAAGCAGACTCCCTCTTAGATCTCAATCTTGGAAAGGTTAGAGCAAAAGTTGGAATCCATCACTGTCATTGTCGATACCTCATGAAAATGTAACTGCGATTTTCTTTCCTAGCTCCACAGACTAAGCTTCCCTGCCTGTTGTGGCTTTCCAGTTTCACAGTGCTAAGAAGTACAGGCCATTGTACATTCCAGTTAAGCACTAGAGGCAAAACATGCTTTTTATTAGTGCTCTTACTTTCTAATCAGTGCTTTCATGTCTCTTAGCCATGAGGTCCGAGCCTTCAGCTGTCCCCCAAGTTGTTCAACATTTCCTCTTTTAGCAGCAGGTACAAATATCAAGATGAGTGTCCCTGTTATCATTCCCAGGAGTGGAGATACCTGCAAGAAAGGGATAGAGAATTAGCACAGGAGTCAGCAGGGTTTGCTCTGAGTAGTCAATAATAAGCAGATTACATTAGTTTTGTTTCAGTGACTCGATTCCTTGCAGTTAGCCAGAATCTGTAAATACACTGGGGCATCTGCTTCTTTCCTTCCTCCCTGACATTCCCTGGACTCTCTTATCTCACTCTGGAAGCACGTAGCTTGGAGAGTGCTCTGATTAAGGCAGTCCATTTCCCTGTGTTATCAAAGTACCAACATTTATCTAATACAGTTCTTCAGTGATGTTTTACTCTTTGGAAACCTACTCCCAGCTGGCCTAAGAGACCAACTAGTTTCTGGGAGACTGCAGAAATCTTTTCAAGGCAATGGGGCCAGGTGAAATATTTCTGGATGTAGGGAGCATGCTGGCTTTGAAAATCCTTGCTTGACATGCATCCCTCTTCCAGCTAATCCACAACGGCTTCCCATAATCAGGCAACTTCCTTGGATTACCTCAGTGAACAGCAGACCAAGAAACACTGAAAATTCAGGCTGGAAGATAGGAAACAACACATACAAGAGTTAGGTTTCCTAGTTTCCAATCCTTTCTCCCAGTTACGACACAAAAATACAGAGATCCCACAGTGTTTTGCAAGCTACAAATGTGATTCTTGTTTTGACACTAAAATTCCATCATTGTCAGAATGGAAAATAGCTCTGTTAAGAAAATAGGAACATGGATTTTGACCAAACTATCATCTATTCTGTACATGCTATTTTAAAAATAAATTCCTGTTCAAAAAAAAAAAAAAAAAAGCTTCCCATAATAACCCGAGAACGGCCTTTACACATAGAGCAGTTTCACACACAAAGATGACAAACCCGGAATTCTTCAAGGGAAAGGAAGGGAAGACAAAAATATTTCAGAACTGAAAAGCCAGGAAACCCCCTCATCCACGGATAAATTAAGCCTGATACAGTATCCTTAATACAGTTGAAGACAAGACACTGCACTGTTTAAAAAAACCCTAGAAATTCTGGGATTTTCCAGGGCTGTATCATTTAAAGTCTCCTTGATTTTTATCGAAAGACTTAATCCCTCAACAGGACAGTATCCATTGAGACTCAGTAATGCTCCCGTAAAACACAGATGTTACTGCTAAATCCAGAGACAAAGCTGCACTTGCCAATGTGCCATTCTGTCTTCTTCAGCCCACCGAAGTACAGATTATTCTTGACCTCTCCTGGATTTGGAGACCACAGGAGATCACAGAGGGAAGCATCACCTAGGGGAATCTTTCACGTTTTGTAAGAGCACAGTAATTGCCACAGGGACAGAGGCTGCTTTACACTGATGCCTGGAAGCTTTCAACATGTGCTGTTTGACTATAAAAACCAAGAAAAACTATCTAAAGCAACCATCACAGAACCGTGCATCTTGTCACACTCCCCGCAATATTGCAGTATTGTCTTTCAGATAGCCTGGATTTCTCAGGATGACTGTGGAGAGTTCATCTGAAGAAAAAGATGCTAGTGAGGATTTCTTTGCACAAATCAATCGTTTGAGTTTTACAGACAGAAGCACAAGAGTGCTCCAATGTATCAACCTCATTAAAACCCACTGACCAGGAGGAGGGACTTTCGGGTTTCTTATTCCTTGTGCTGGCCTCTGCTCAAAAGTTACTTTTACCCTTAAAGTATTTCTGCTACTGAATGAGGTAGCCATCCTCTTGGTGTGAAGCTGTAGGCTAAGAAACTTTTCATTTCAGGTGCACAGCTGAAACCTACTCTCCACTCTCTCAGCTGCAGATGGCTTTGCTTACCCTTGCTGGACAAGGAGGGAATGGCTTGTGCAACAGAACGGCACATTTGCTTGAGATGGGAACACATGTAATTCATCAGCTGTTGTTATAAATGTCATTGGCCTGAGCTTCATGAGATTCATTGTCTTCGTGAAGTGCCAGAGCCAGAGAATGCACCTCATGGGGGCTCATGCCACCCAGACTGCCAAAGGTCAGAAAACAGTTCTGCTGGGCCACTTCCTCTCAGCTCTTTCAAGACATCTTTGTGTGCAGGATCTGTTTGTGCGTATGCGATTGCAGTGTATTATCTTTTCAACACATTTATCAAGGTCCCAAGAGGTTAAAATAGAAGGAAACCGACTGTCTCAGGGCAGAAAAACAAGCGGAAACTGGAACAAACTGTTTTTTCCTCAAAGCAGGAAGTCATTCTCGGAGTTTCTTGACAGCAGAGGACTGAAAGACTGTGGAGTTGATTTAAGGCCAATGCATCATCTTCCCATCCCCATCAAGAAATCATAGTTGACTGATAATAAAGTAATTGGAAAATTCTAGTTCCCAGGCCAGGAAAAAAAAAACATGTACAATGAGCCAAAACCACATACCTTTTCCCCTTAGAGAATGTATCTGCTATGCAATTACTATCCATAGATGTAATTTCCAATCCTTTACCTTCTATATATAATAACAGGTTCAGGAACTGTGTGATAGAACTGATAAACAGATGCAATGATTATTAAGATGTTATTAAGATCGGCTTACCCGCAACGCCCAGTGCCAGTCTCCAGCAACCTGCTTCACACTTGAGCCAGTGATGTATCCCAAGCCACTGCAATAAATACCAGGATGAGAGTCAGTCAGATCTTTAACAGAGTACCACAGTCACAGATCTTCTTAAACAAAGATAGAAAGAGGCACAACTGATTGTGTGTCTTGGGCTCTCTTCTGCAGGAAGAAACACGGGGGGGTGAAGCAGATGGTGGCTAATATGTAATTCTTCCCAGCACTGTTGATCTAAAAATGCTCAAACTTGATGGAAATTTGGACATTGATCTCAAGTTTAGAGCTGACCTTTCAATCTACAGTGGATAGAAACAAAGCCTCAAAAAGAATTTATTTCCCAATTTCATTTCTACATCAGGCTTTTCTGTGGACTAATATGACCACTTAATAATTTTATGTTCAAGCTTTCAGTTAAGAAGTGCCCTTCAAGGACGCACTATATTCCATCATTAATTTTTTTTCTTGTCATTTAATAGCACTTAGTTCTAATTACCCATGAGGAGACCACTTTCCATAAGCTTCTAAGAAAAAACAAGAGGAATATGCAAGACAGTTTGATGTGAGAAACATCAGACCTGAAGCTTGGAAACCTCCTCTGAAGATAAAGGAGCAACGGGACCTTCAGCCACATGCTAAGAATGACACTGAGGTAACAAACGGTGGCTCACAGGAGGCTAGATACAGGTGAACATAGCCATGCTTCTCTCAAAGTGAAGTGGATGGATGTGAATATCCTTTTTCAAAACTGCTGCGTTTGTTGCTGAGATTGCCTTGGCTAGAAGTTGCCAGGGCTGCTGTGGGGCAGCTGTCAGCTATCACATGAACACTCTGCAAAGATTTGGAGGTTGCCATCTGTAATCACCCCAAAATGGGGCTTTTTACACAGACAGGCCCCAAAATCAAACCACGGATCCACACCTCTGTTGGATATTCAGAGAATTCAGTCCCAGAATCAGGCTCAACAGGATGAATATTTGTCATTTCTTGCTAGCCATAGTGCAGTGAATTCTCTGTGTAAATACTTGGCATCCTCGGCCCTCTTGGGAAAATATTCTTTTTACCACTTAAGGACTTGGCTGTCTCTTTTTCCTCAAGAGCAAAGGGATGTTTGTGAGTTTTATCTCAGGGATGAGTGCTCTAACTCATAAAATGCACCATTCTGAACCAGAAGTTTTTCCCTGAGTTTGGAGGGATTAAACTGCTGTTTTCATGTTTTCCGTGCTGGAAATGAACCCATGATGCCACTTTTTCACAGGATGTTGTCCAGCTCTGGGAATTGGTATGTAAACTATGCGAACCCACCCTGCCTACAAACTCACAATAGCAGGTCAGCCATTATTTTTAAAAAGTAAAAATAAAAAATTAAAAAAAAACCCAAAAAACAACACAGATTCCCTCCTGTCCCAACAATCAGATACTGCATTGGGCTGATAAGGGAACTCAACTGATAGAAAGTGCCAGAGGAAATAACTACCCCAAATCTGAATCTGCCTCTTGCTTTCATCAGGCATCTCTGGGCTTGGCTGTCCTCCACTGCTCAGCACTGAGGCAGAGTGGGAACAATCATTACAGTTTCTCTCTTCAGCCTTACTGTCTACACCAGTCTTCACAATTTCTCCTAATTGCTGTTTCGGTGGCCATAGCACTAAAATGTTTCAGTGCCCATTGCTATTGCAGCTACCACGTCACCTAAGACTGGCTTAACTGCATTTTCCAAACTCAGTCAGATTGGCCAAATTCAAGGTTGGGCAGAATTTGAGATTAAACTAAAAATATTTTTAAACTCAACATTTCAAATTGTGTATGTTACATAACATACTCCTCTTGAAACCTCTGATACTTAGGACTGTCACACAGAAGCAGGTATCCGTTTGCTCACTTTTGAAAACTCAGCCCAGTGTCTTAAAAGAACTTGATTTCACAGTAACCTGCAAGACATGGCCTAAAGAAGGCACAGACCTCATGTGAATTGAAGCAACAATTCAGAGAACCTATATAACGTTATCCAAAATGATAGTTTAATTTAATAATGCTTAAAAAAAAGTCAGCTAAAATATTTTGATTCCATTTCCGCCCCACTGCTGTAAAAAAAAAAATCCTTCCCACTAATTCCCAGAAGTCACACATGAACCAGTAACAGGGCTAGAAAAAGGATCCAATTCCTACAACTAATTAGTCACTGCTCACAATATTTTCCTGTTTAAACCATCCCAGACAAAGACAGAGGAACTATGATCATTAGCAGCCTAAGACCTGTGTGAGTTTACTTTAAGAGAAAAGCCCAAACCAGATGAAAGCAGCATTATGTCACTTACCTGCCAAGAGGAATTGCAAAGTAGAAAACAGACAGCATAAGGGTCCTTGTGTTTTTGGTGAAAAGGTCTCCTATGATGGTTGGTGCAATAGTGGAGTAACTTGCTTCACCGATGCCGACCAAACCTCGTGAGAGCACAAGAAGCCAGAAATACTGAGAAAAGAAATAAAACATGTTAGCAGGTCTCCCCTCGTCTTTTTAATTCAGGATGGACAACGGTGAAATCTGTGCATACAGGGCAATATAAACCCCTGTGACCGGAATGTGATCTCCTTGTAGACATTTACTTTTAAAACCTCAGACTCATTTCATTTGTCTCTTGCTGGGAGGAAAGGGACTATAATTTTCGTGCAGATTTATAGGCATGAAAGAAAAGTAGTAATAATACATGTTCACTCAATGACACTCAAGAAGGTATTCTAATACAGGCAGAAGACCCGCAGTTTATTCTGAGGATGCAGCTCACTCTTGCTAAGCCAGCATCAGTGCCCTGACAGAGGAAGGTCTGGGGAAGCGGGTGAGTGTAACAAATCCTGCTCTGGGATCCAGGAAAATCAATCCCAACCTCCTCAGAATGCCAAGGGACAAGTTAATACTGGTGAAATCCTAAAGGCTCTTCAAAGCTGTGAAAGAGTTCAGTGTGCAATCCCCTAAACTCTATTCTTTCCCCTTCATTAGAAGCCATGGAATAACGGAAGTTTTTCAAAGGTGCCAAGCACCTATCTCACTCCACTTCCTTTGACAAAAAAGCATAAATCTCCCCCTCATATCAGGACGGCAAAGTAAGCCAACACTGAAAAACAGTTCTGAAAAACGTCAGGTTACAATCTGAGCCGAGATGCACGGTTACAAAGATGTAAGACAAGCTTTAGTGTGCACCACAGGGACACTGGTGTGCACAGTAAGGAGTAGCCCCAGGCGAACGATTCGGAGCCAAACCAGGCCACGGCACAGGCTGAGAAGGGCATTAGGCTGCCCAGAGAAATACATGCCTTTCCGCATAAAGGGCAATCCAACAGAATGAGGAGATGGACTTCACACTCAGCACAACACAGCCTAAAAAGGGACAAAAAGGAATTGTTCGCCTAACAGAATTTTCTTGGTGGTCCGTTTCCCTGTTTTAGCCAACATTTTCATAAACTGCAAGGATCCGATTTTCAAGTCGACCTCTTTCGCTACACTTGCAGTTTTCTGGGTGCTGCTGTGTGAAGGCATAAGGCACAATACTTTGCTGCCTGAACACCTGATAGATGAGCACAACCACGTTCTTAAACATCTAGGCAGCATGAGCGACACACAGAAATGAAGTAACTGCAGGTACAGAAATGAAACAGGCAATTCCAGAAACGTGTAAGCACAAGGAAATCTATTTCTACAAATGTGACTTCTACAAATCCTCTATTTACTGTTATTATTCATTTGTATGGAAAACAGCATGGATTATGGTAAATATGAAAGTTCTTTGAGAACAACTAGCAATTACAGTGAGTGATGGAGGGGAAAAGTTGAGTTGCAGGGAAGTGACTGACTTTGTGCCCTACAGCAAAGCTAAGCCAGAGTACAGGGCTCTCATTCACAAATATGGAAAATGCCACGCAGACATCAAGCCACGTGCCTCGGTCATAAATATATCCGTCGGCAGACAAAAATCTACCACTGACATGTTCTCATTGTTTTCTTCATTGTAATCCCCTGGTTGATGAGAATTTCTTGAGGATTCCTATAGTCACACAAAACAAATACTTTTGCACATTCTTCACTGCCTCTAATTTTGATGTAAATTCTGCGTTAATTCCTACCTTCTGAGTGTATACAAGTTCCTTGTTTGCTGGCAGGGAGTTTGCAGTGCTGCTATCATTCATACATCTCCCATAAACTGCACATACGCAACAGACATGTGGGTGTATGCAGAAAGGGCAATACTATGACTCAAGTGATTTAATTTATGCAAATTACCCAGTGCTAAACCACTCCACGGCAGAAATATGCTGACAATGATTGGTACACAGGTAACCAATGTATATGGAATGAGCAACAGTATTCATTATATTCTGAATGACTTAGTCATGCAGAATTAGAAAGCAGGGGAACTGGAAGATGATTTTTCTTACTTAAGAGGTTCGGATCTGGATCACGGAGAGGGTGACTGGCAAAGTAGTCACCTGCCAGGCCCAGAATGAGTACGTAGACAGTGCTAGTTACACATGTAGAATGGCAAGTTTGTAAATCACAGAATCACAGACTGGTTTGGGTTGGAAGGGACCTTAAAGCCCATCCAGTCCCACCCCCCAGCCACGGGCAGGGCCACCTTCCCCCAGCCCAGGTTGCCCCAAGCCCTGTCCAACCTGGCCTTGAACCCTTCCAGGGAGGGGGCAGCCACAGCTGCTCTGGGCAGCCTGTGCCAGGGCCTCACCACCCTCACAGGAAGAATTTCTTCCTTATATCCAATCTAAATCTCCCCTCTGTCAGTTTAAAACCATTACCCCTCATCCTATCCCTACACCCCTGACCAAGCGTCCCTCCCCCCTTTCCTGTACCCCCTTTCAGCCCTGGGGGGCTGCTCTAAGGTCTCCCCAGAGCCTTCTCTTCTCCAGCTGAACCCCCCAACTCTCTCAGCCTGTCCTCACAGGGGGGCCTCCAGCCCCTGATCATCCTCACGCATGTCATCTCAGGTCCATGTACCTCTTTTGTTGGGGGGCCCCAGAGCACTGGATGTTCCTCAGATTTGAAATACCTACACAAAACTGACCCAAGTTTGTGCTCACCAGCCACTGTCACTCCCAGTGAATGCACTGGACAGGAATCTCCTCCCAAGGATGCTGTTATAAGGTTCCTCGTACAGTCCTTGTGTAAAGCAGGAAAACTGTACAGTTTTCTATTGTGGTAAAGAGTGACTTAGTTCCACCAATATAATTGAATCAGAGTCCCAATATAATGAAATCATCTGCAACAAGTAATATGTTCATTCTTCTCCTCTAGTTCCTCCTTGAATCCTCCTCCCTGGCTTGTCCCATGCTTACTCACTCCAAATATCTGTTTAATATTTAAACTGTTCTCTGAAGCAGTGGTATCCAAATTTAAGTCATGAGATTCTGATTTCAGTTGGCAATAAAAGCAGTCTTATAAAAGCGTAATCTACATAACGATGTGAATGGTATCGCCCTTCTGAGATGATATATTCAGGACTACTGACAGTTCAGCTATTTAGGTGTAACATTTAGGCAAAACATACAGAAGTCTAAAATAATAATAGGTAATTATAAATAACCAGTTGTGTGTTGTGCCTGGTTTTATAGCTCTATATCTAGGATTAAAGAGCTAATACTCTTATCCTGCTGTAAGATCTCTTCTGGATCTTTGGCTAGCATGCATCCCATTGGAACCTATACAATAAAATGATGCAGTAATTTGTTACAATAAGATAGAACCCCCATTCTTCCATCTCTAATCAGTCTCAAAACTTATGTTTTTGTCATTTCTGAACAGGGACAGCCAGGTAGCTCCCTGAGACAAAAGGTGGACCTTTCTGAGAAAGGCCTACTATTTTCATCTTTTGTAGAGGAAGAAAGAAATCCAAACAACCAAACAACTCCCAAATTCTTACGCTGCTGCTCATTTGGACCACAGACATGCCATGAACCACTTAGAAACTGGTCTCCAAACCATTGCGAGTGCAATACAGGCAAATGCTATTTTTTTGTATGTGCATTTGTATACATACACCCATATGCACACCCCTCTCTCTGAGTGTATACATACATGATAATGAACATTGGGAAAGTTAGATATTACCCTCAAAGACAAAGCACTGTTCTCCACCACCGTAGCAGGACACTTCTACCATCTCTTCTATATTAGATTTTTGCCCCAAGTGCTTTTTCCTCCTTGTCCTGCCCCAGGATTCTCAGCAGTTTAGTGAGAAGGGCTGACACCAGCCAAATTCCCTACATTATCTGCACTTAAAAGCAGCACAGGCAGCTGAGACTTTTAACTGAAAGTCACTGTTCCCCAAGCAGAAACTGATATATTCTAAAGGAACTTATTCCTTTCTACATCACTTTACAGCTCTTCTGTAATTCATTCATCTGTGTAAATAGTTCTCACTCTGGCAGGAAAATTAAAAACATCCGAGCCAGCTCTTGGCACCTGAGCTTATTCCTTTTCCACAGGTTAAGCCCAGTAACCTCAAGACTTCAATGTCTTTTTCTCTGGGTCAGTGCTTGCGACTGAAGTTTTCTGAAAGGAGGAGCTATTACAGCAAACGATTTCTGTCTTTAATTTTGGTTAGCAGTCTGCACCTCCATGAGAGCTGCCAACATCTGGTTTGTAGAGATGCGATGGTTTTCTTCAAATGACTGTCTGGCAGAAATCCCCCTCCCTGCCTGTGCTTCAGCCCAACCTGCTACAGACACTGTCGCAGTCACGGCGGGGCAGAGCTCCCAGGCACTGGTTGGATGTGGACTGGACAGGGGTTATCACAGGAACACCTGAACCATTCGCTGCTGCTGCCAGGAGCCCTGGGGGCAATTTAGGATGCAAAGGTGCTCCAAGCTCCTTTCTCCAACTTGTATGTGCCACAAAGGGGCTGACGAGATGCAAGCCAGGGAAGATTCCAGTATACAATAAACCATCAACATATGGATAGAACTGTGGCTGACAGAGACCCAGCACTGCCGCAGTCTTCCTGGGAATTCCCCTTCCGAGGGGCCATCACCAGAGCAGCACACTCACAAGTGCATGTGAGGTAGGTAAGTCAATGGACCTGCTCTCTTCTCCCCATCTCTTAACTCTGTGGAAGGAAAACTATGCCGTAGTTCTAAAGCTGAAGACTTTACTACTTTGTAATTTGAAGAAAAACAAACCCAAACAAAAAAGAAACCAAACCCACCAAATTAGATCAGAGTTTTGGAAGGGATACAAATCCTTATGCCTCAGGGAGTGCAATCACTATCAGGAATGCACAACCTACTCATTTCTAAATTTCTTAAACTATCAGCAAACTGTGGGCAACAGCAGCAATGGATCATGGGGTCAGATGGACTTGGTCTGATTCCTGTTGCCAATGACACCGTCCCACTAGAAGCTATAGGCATGACACAATCCTTACAGAATTTTCATCTGAAAAAAGCTTTCATCATTTGAGTATTTATAGC